ATCTCAAAAATTACTTTTCTTCCTATTTGAGGATTTCTCTATTATCCTTTGTATTATGAAGGCAGTTCCAAAGATTGTAAACTTAGGCATGAATTTTATTTCCATCTCCATAATGTATTTTGTCCAAAGTCATGTATAATTCTTCTCTGTAACTGACCTAAAATGGTTTCATAGCAATAAGCTTCAGATTCAGAAATGACTCCCTTTAGAAAAAAATGGATTTCATTTGAGCTCATGTATATCCAGAATTTCTATTCTTTGTAAAATGAGGAGTGAGAAAATCAGTCATTATAGTCTGCTTTTAGAAATACCTTCTAACTTCACGTCTATCTCTTTCCACTAGAGTTCCAAGCTACATAAATAACATAAATAGTGGAAAAAGCAAAAAGTATTATATAAATAGCAACAACCATTACCATCACCAAAATCTAGTAAAAATAGTTTTATAGAATCTTAACATACATAATTTCTGTCTTAACTTTTGTGACATGTTAATTACAGTATTTAAGCTGAGATGATTAAATTTCTATAGGCAACTAAATCCTAGATCAAGAAATGCCTTGCTGACTATTATTGTCTTTTATATTCACAACTTTGTTTACTGAAGAAAATTCTGTCTCTAAATAAGAACATTGTTTATTTTCCAAGGATGTTGAATTGGAAGCTGATAATCTTTGCTTTCACTTCAACGTGAATTAAAAAAAAGCTGTGATAATTATGCAAAGGAAATGCTTACCCTTTTTATTCTCAATAGGAACTATTTTCACTATGTAGTGCAAGATGGAAATTGAAAAAAATGTGCTTTATGAATAATTATGAAATGTAGGGTCACATATTATTTTATATAAGGGTTGGAAGGTCTCTATAATTAATTTTCTTGTATATTTCTTTTTACTCTAAGGCAGTCACAAACAACAGATGTATAAAGGTAACTTGATGTTTTCCCCACAATATTTTTAAAAGGAACAATAGTTGTTGCCATCAAACATGAACTATATCAGCAATCACAAACGGCATTTTTACTTTCTAAAGCACATGTTCAAATGTGAGAGCCTATAAAATATATTCCTCTTATAAAAATGAAGGCACTCTAATGTTAGATATTCTGAGACATTCTAGAATAAGGATAACTTGGTTAATTCTGTGTTTCATACAAATATTTGAATATATATATATATATATATATATATATATATATATTCAAATACACATTTGAGGTCCTCTGTATTTTAGGTATGGCTTTGGATACTTTTAGTAGCAATAAAACAATATTGAGGTTATCAAAAAAATCAAACTAGATTATTGAGAAACAAATAGAAAATATTATTCAAATTTTTAAATTAATAAATTATTAGAAAAATATCCACAGTATAAATGCCTTATTTTACAAATTTACTTAAGGAATATATTCACATTATGTTTTCTATGGCATTTAAAGTAAATATTGTATAACATTAATTTCCACAAACGTTTTCAGATCATATGTTTGTTTTTTATATACATACTGTTCATCTTGTCAAAATATCATCTGATTACTCTCAAAACATAAAATGTTTTCTTTATGGTATATTTTTGTAACCGAGCTTATATTCACTGTTTATAACATTAGTGTTAAATCCTAGTTTCCATACCATTCCCAGTTCTAGAGAACTTGTAAGAAAAGTACTCCTTGGTCAGCAGCATCCTTATCCCATTTTGGATTTATGGAGCATTTTTAAACCTGAAACTATTAACAAAAAGTACATATTATAGATCAAAGTCTTAGTATTTTTTCTTCCTAAATTGAAAGGTGACTACATAAGTAGGCACATATGCAGATTTATAGATTTAAAAGTGTTCACCAAAAAAATTAAACTTCTTAGAATCTGGAATGGAAATTAAATCACTGAGCTTTAATAAAGAAGAGACACATTTATGTGTGCCTAGCAACACAGTAACAGAAATGGAGATAATGATTGATGATAAACAGTGGAGTTTATAGGATTTTGCTGAAAGTGTCACAGTCACTAGGAACTTAGGTTCACCATTTTATCTTAGAAGGAATGTATTAGCCTTACAACATAGAATATAGTGTTGTTGAAAAGACACTGAAAACAGGGATTAAAGGTTGTTGAAATAACCCAGGTAAGAGATGATAATATTTTAGATGAGAGTTTCTGTAATTCAGATAGCAAAAGTTATTTGATGAAAGATAAATGTAAATTTAACAAGATTTTAAAATTAACTGATATGAGAGAAAAGGTATCATGGAATCATGGATGGTATCTATGTTTTAAATATAAGTGAAGGGTAGTATTATTTCCTAAGATCTAGGGAGATTTGTGTACACCAGTTAGTGTAGATGGGATTCTGGGAGACAATTATTGTACATGAGGCTATTCTATGTTGGAGTTACTTCCAAGGCATGAAGGATAAGAAACTAAATGTAATGTTTGGGCACTTCCATTTTTTAAAGAGGGTATCATATACCTTAAATTTGATATTAAGAATTCCCAGGAAACTAGAGTTGCTTTTTAAAAGAAAATTAACTTTTTAAAAATGTCCTTCTTCAACTAAGGAGCTATTTTTATGTTTTCATTGTTGGAAAGGCCATGCATTCATTCTACTTGTGTATGTATTCCAAAGGAGCACTACACTTTTTGTATCTGAAAACAAATATGGTAATAATTCATAATGTGCACATAGACACAATATATATGACACAAAGTAAATGTCTCATCTTTTTATTATTTCATGTAGGATTTCATCAGATAGCTTCTACATTCACACATCACTGTTCTTTCTAGCATTCATCAGAATTTTTGCATCAAAAGTACTTTTACTGCTCTTAATTTAGTAGGGAAGATAAATTAACAACACTGTATATCTTATTCTACTTTGGGTTAATTTTCCTCTTCACAAAGAAATGTTTTATAATAATTTATTCAAAACTAAATACAGAAATATTTTTGTTTTCTATACATCATACTAGTTTCACGACCTTGCCTCTAGCATTATGAATATGTCTAATATTATATTCAATATCTACTGTTCACAAAGTCCTTTGTATTTTTAGTATTCAACCTCTATGGTAATTTCCTTGTCATTTACTATTATAATTTCATTCAAGACTAAATAGGTATGGACTGACTGTTGTTTATCTGCAGTAGTAATTATTTCAAATGTGAAAAGTCATGTGACCTGAATTCAAACTAAAGGTATAAAATGCCTCCTATATTTATAAAATATTGTCTTTTCCTCTTTTTCTCCAAATTAACAAACTGGAAACATTCTTATTATGAGTACCATAGACCATTTTTTATTTTATTTTCTACTTCTTCTAAAATTTTCAGGAAAGTTTCCTTAGTACATTCTAATTGGCAAAGATATTCTTATTTTTGGGTTCATAGGTAGCTTAATAAGCCTAGTCAACTCTTTTATTTCCAGGCCAATTAGAAGCCCAGTCTCCTCCTACCAATAATTGGAACCTGAAGAACAATTGGCCGGAACTTGAAAAACAATATCTGAAGATGTCTTCTCAGTTAGAATTCCATCTACATCCACACATGTACACATTTAAGCACATCTGCACTTACCACTCACATATACATGAACATACGCACTTCCATATGCACAGAAGTTACCCTGCCATAATTTATATGTTGCCTGCTATTTCAAGCTTTAGTCATTTATGAAATATTGTGCTTATAGTATTATGTATGAAATGTTATAGATTTCAATGTTCAGTAAACTAAACTCAAGATAAAATATTTCCTTTTGTTATCTGTTTTTAATTTTTAATTTTTATTTTTATGAGGCAGATTGGCTGATCTTGGTCTCCTGGTTGTGAACCTAGAACTCATAACAGCAATGATTACAGACATGCACCATCATTGCTAGGTAGTAGTTCTTAAATTATTTTTTAATTGTTTGCAATACTCAGCTGCAATTAAAGTTTAGATTATTGAATTTCATAAAAACTGTATAGTTATTAATTTTATTAAAAATATGAAAAGAAGTCACAATAATATGTCATGTATTGTCCAACACACATTCATAAAATAATTATTTTAATTACTCTGGGCATGTTACATACACACTTTAATAAGTGGATTAATATTACAGGAGATATATAATTTTAGAGTTGAATCACATGCAGGTTTTAGTTATACAATGAAAAATGGTCAATTTTGTCTAAGACATTTGTATCCTGGGTTTGCGATGCATACGTTCTGGAAATGCAGAAGTTGGTCATTCTTCTTTATCTTCTAAGAACTTGAGTAAGGGAAAAAAGTGTAATTGTCAAAAAGTCTTGTTGTTACTAACCTATTACGAAGAAGCAAGAACAATTATTCAGTTTTGAATTGGATTTTCAAAGAGGAGATCAGAAACGTTCCATCCTGTTGTTTAAAAAGACTTGCCTTTCCTTTTTGTTTATAATATTTTAGTGATGACATTTTTATTTGATCTTACATCAGATATCAACATAGTGTGAGCCATCCAGTTCATATAATGTGCACTGTGAACCACTAATTGCCTAATCCAAGAGTAAAGAGGTAGTAGTATTTTTTTAAGTCATTGAGATGACCTCATTTAGGTGAAGATAACTTATTTTATGAAATATTTATTATTCACCATGTATCCAGTAAGAAAGTAAAATTAGCATGGGATGATCTCAGGAAAGCAATGTATATTTCTGAATTAGACAGTGAAATAAATAAATGCACGGGAAATTGACAAATTCACATTGCCAATGTTATGAAAAATGATGCAGCAAAAGAAATTAAGATGTATATATTTTTTTTTTCATTTTGAATGAGGGGCCTATTTCCTGTCACTTGTCCTTTTGTCTTCAATCTTGAAAATTAAGCTTTTGAGTTACAGAAGCCCAATGTGAGGGGAACTACTCACTTTTAAAATGCACAATAGAAGATTTTAGCCCAGATTTTTGGTGATGTTAGTAGGCTTCTGTTAATATAGTAGTTGCAAACACATACGTGGGTTTGCCAGTAACAACTCACAATTTGTGCAAAGTTGAGTCTTCGAAACTGAGCAAAATTGCTCTCAATTTCCCGCCAGCGCTTGCTGAGCTGGATCTGAGTTGGCTCCACTGCCATTGCGGCCCCATTCTCAGACAAGCCCTCAGCTTGCCTGCGCACTGCATTCATCTCCACTTTCTTCTTCTGCATTTCACGATCAATTTCCTATTGAGCAAAATCAATACAGGGCCCAGGGCAGTTAGCTAACCACATCAACCGACCTACAAGCAGCAAATACTTCTCTCATAAATTTCATAGGCTGTTGTTCCTTCTTATATATTTTCATCATTTATAAATAATGGAAGGTGTCACTGTCATCCTCACCCAGTAAGCAAAGTATAATTTCAGGTATCATTTGAATGCTCAGTTTAAGGTATTCTAATTAAATTTAACTAATATTTTGTTTCTTTTGGATTGTTTTGATGCTTCTAGAATTGACCAAAATTGGAGTGATTGTTCACTTATTTATTAGGGATAATACATTTAGAATATAATTTAGAGGGCAAGTGACTACAACTTTTATTTTTAAGGTTTGAGGAACTCAACAGAGAATGAAGCAAAACAAAAAGTGCAAAATAATAACAGAAAGAAAACATATTTGGACAATTTGAAAATAAATCTCTAGAGATTTTTGATATGAAAAGATGTTCTGATGAAATGAATGTGCTAACATGAGAAAGAAGTCGTCCATATACCGGTAACTCATTAATTCATCTGGAACAAAGATACACAGAGTCAATTACAATTTCACCAGCAAACACACAACAGTTAACAATTCATTTCACATTGTCTAATATAAAACGTTTCATTCATTTGACATTATGTCAATTCAGTGACAGTACAATACAGTTACTGAAACAAAACACGATACAAAGAATTACATCAAAGCACAGAGCAAGCTAATAGAGGATACCAGAGCACATTTTATGCATGGTTATTGTAGGTTACTTTAAAATAGTAAATATCTAGCAGCAAAATCTAGTATTGCCATTCTAAAACAACTTTACCTTTATTTTCCTCTCATCTCTGGGCTCAGGTAAGCTGGCTAATTTTTTTTCAATGTCATCCAAGCATTTCAGGAGATCATCAGCCTGTCTCTTGTATTGATACCATTGGTGAGAAATTTCTAGGGCCTTTTTTCTTCTTTGAGACCTCAAATCCTGTTCATGATGCAGATATTATTAAAATATCAATATATGTGGATAATATTCACCTTGCTGCAGTTATTTATGAAAATAAAAGTGAGACCCTTGTACTTTTAATTGCTGTGTAAAATCCAATTCAAATACAGGGGAGGGACATAGATTATTAAATTATGTATTTATGTGTTAAGGTTATGTATAGAAGCTAAGAAACATGAAAAACTCAAAACAATTTCCTTTGAATATTCAAACTTGCTTACAAATCTTTCTTACATTTAATGAAGTCTTAATTATCTAAGGAAAAATATTGCATAATACATTTGAAAGAATTTCATTATGAATATATGAATACAATTAACTTAACCAGCTAGCTACAAAAGCATTGAGTTGTACTTGACTTTACTAATACTTGAAATTCTAAAACATGTGTTGTGCCTTGGGCTTATCAACAAAAATTACCACTATATAAGCAAATTATATACATTGTTGATTTTAGAAATAGCTATAAAGTTAAGCCATTAATATTGTTGCTTAAAAAATTAGTTGTTTTGGAAGCTGAAGAAATGGCTCAGTATGAAGAATTATGAAGGAACCAGGTTTGATTCCAGTACTCATATGGCTGCTCATGACCATCTGTATCTCCAACCCAAGTGCACCTGATACCATGTTTTGGCCTTTTTGGGCACTTCACACACATGGTGCACAGAATAATATCCATATACTTAAAAATTAAGATATTAGTTATTTTAAAGTTGTTCAATGTTACATATATAGAAGCATAACTTCTTTATAGTGATATGATTATATATGAAAATAATATATTAAGTATTACTTCCTTTTCTATTCTTGCTTAGATCATATTCAAAGTATAAAAATAATTGCTATTTCAATTGGTGCTATAAACAAGTAAACTTTTAATAAATCATCAAATGCGAAAGTAGCTTTTGTCTGCCTCATAGAAGTACACACAGAATTTTCTGAAATCTATTAAATTAGCAAAAACAACAGTTTATGTGCCACAGAAATGTAATTCCATCTACAGATTTCTTTTCTTCAAAGACGTAGCATTTGGGTTTTATATCTAAGTTTATGTGAAGTTAAAAAAACATACCAATGAACAACTGAATGTTTCATTGCTTTGGGAACTTCTATTCTCTGTAAAATATTTTAAAATAATAGAATTGCAACTAATTGACAGGTTAACTTCATAATTGTACTTGGTATAAGTTAGGTTTGGCAAACAATGATTTTTACTAATTACATGTGGCATGAAAATTTATAATTTATTGTAGTTTTCATTTTGTATGTCATTTATAAACTCCATGTAAGGGTAATAAGTGCCTTGGAAGAGTTTGATGGAATTCTGTTTTGCCTAATAATATACCAAGATCCACTCTGGGGACTTACTAAACTATGACCAATTCATAATACAAAATACATACTTGCAAAAAAGGTCTTGATGTTTATAAATCTCATAGTCTTCAGATTCCTTAGAATGAACTAATTAGGAATATTATTTATAAAATCATGTGTATTTGTTTGATGTATGGAACATGATCCATAGATACTGCTGACTAATAATACGCTTATCCTCCTGTGACTAACCTATAAACTTCTGTTTTTTTTTTCACAGAAGTGTGTGAATTACACAGGTTTATGGTTTTCTGGGCACACTATGATTTGTTTCTTCATCCCCCTCAAGGAAGAAGTCTTTTCTGTTTACTATAATTGTGGGCAGCTACTTTCAGATCACCTGCTGGTCAGTTAGACTTTACTTGTTGATTCCTTGCAGGCACAATAGTGTGTAATTACATTCACAGCAGTGTTTATTTGGTTAACAATAGGGAAAAGTTTTACCAACTTATTTGCATATAGAATGCATACTCCATCCATCTGCTAGGAGACTATAACCATATATGTCTAATGTAATGATTCTCACAAAGCAAAACAGTACAATTAACACTATTAAAAATTAAGCCATGAATAAAAATAGAGAATATTGCAAAGCATATACAAAAGTAGTGGTTTACAAATGGTTTAGCATATCTAGTTCCATCTCAAGAACTCCATAGACAGCATTAGAGAAAAATGAACAGTTTATTCTGTTTTTCCTGCACAATACAGATGGGTCACAAGGAAAGTTGAGTGTATATATCAGAGGTGACAGTAGTTTTTCAAGAGTATCATGAGCACTTTTGAGCATTCCTATATAAATGAAACTAGGCTCTTGTAGATGCCTACTTTCAAAAAGTAGCTGTTATAAAAACAATAAAGTTTATTTTTTTTAAAATGAGGAAATAGGCCCTATTAAAGAAACAGTTTGCCAATATATTTGACCTCCTATAAAGAAACAAAATCAGTGGAGGGAATATCAATTGATTATTCTGACAATCAGGACAAACTCAAATCTAGCTTATAGAAATAAAGCATATTAGAAAATAAATTTATAAATACTGTGGGTGGTACTTTTAAATAGCTTTCAATATTCTGAAGAAAAAGAACAAACTAATTTTATGTCACATATTCTCCAAACTGGAAGGACCAAAACATCATAAATAAAGCACAAATATTCCATGGGAAAAAAGTAATTTTGTGGTAACTAGAATGCTTAAGCAGATTTTATTTATGTACATGATATTATACACTATATATACAAAACCACAGGCAAATCACATTATAATTTGAGCTCTAATACCTTGAGAGCATTATGTTTTGTCTGTAACAGCTGCTGCTTTATCTTTATTTCCTCTCGCTTTCTCACATCTGTGATTCTTTGTTGTAAGTGGTCTCCTCTTTGCAACAATTCATTTACAGTACACTCATTGTCTTCACTCTGATTAAAAACAACAAGTACAGTCTTCATTTTGATTTTTAAAAGCTGTACATTGTAACAGAGATGATAAAACATCTAAATATACACAAAAATCCAATTTAAAACTTCAGGGATGCTATGATAAAATAGTACGCTTATAATATTTCCTTTATATTTAGATAGAAAACAAAACTTCTGCATATCTCTTCTGAAGAACAAATTTTGAATGGCATCTGTACAAATATGATGAGTAAGGCACTTTAGAACATAGAAATTATTATATGCTATAATAATATCCTCTTGGATTTTATTTCTATTACAGTTAAACTAATCTTGTCACTTCCAGTGTTAATTGACCTGTAACTGTATAGCAAACTTTACATAGTAACCTCTGGGTTATATTTAAACCTAAATGTTAAAACTTAGATGTTGAGCATTAATAAAAGTGATGGGGATATTTACAAATATAGAAAATAATTTATTTCTAAAATGACACAAATTTTGCTAAATTTAAGCAAATAAAATAATGAATATGTTCTAAAATGACTTCAAAATTTTTCATTTCTATTTTTGTTTTATTCCTTAACAACAATGGTTTATTTCTATTTACTTAAAGATATTACCTAAAAAGTGTTGTTTTAATATTATTGAACATGGTTACATTTGTGCACATTTTGTTTCTTGTTATTATACTTCAAATATGAAAAATATCTACTACAAAGCATAGTATGCAATTGTACACAAGTATGCCAATGAGCTAATGATTAATGACACACAAACTTCAAAATATATATTTATGTATACATCTATAATATTACATATGGTAACAAGTGTAATATATGTAAATCTAGAACATGTCCAAATTTCATAATACAAGTAAGCATTCATCCATTGTGTTTAAAGGGAAAGGGGTATTTATTTTACAGTTGTCTATTAATGGTCTAGTGAAAGTTACAATTATGTATGTATATACTGTATATATTACATATATATTACAGACTAAATTAGAATAATTAATTATGGCTTTTGAAACTGTGAAGCAAGTTCCATGACTGAGAATGCAAACATTAATAAAAAGCTAATTTATTTGCCTAAATAAGTATTCTATGGCAGGATTGTTAGATTGAGAAGTAGCAACAATTTTCATCTTTGTGACCCTGGAATTTCTTCTTTGACATGAAGTAGAGGTAGCTGGATCTCACAGTTTCAGGAAGCTTCTTCCTGTCTTCCCTTCCATGAGCTGAGATGTGAACACCACTAAATTTATTTTACATAAAGAGTACTGATCCAGACAGCTCCAAGAAGTCAGAATTCATGTGCGTGCAGGCTAAGAGAACTGGGCTGAAATACATTATCTAGCATCTAAAAATTATATATTGCCTCCTAATGCTGATCACGTATTGTCTGAGAGGTCTTTAATATTAATACATATATGAAAATCTCTAGTGTGATACATGGAAAGGTTAAGTATGCTACAGTGATAATGGCAGTGAAAGAGGGGGAAAGAACATGCAACTGAGTAAAGTGAATGTAGCATAAATATACTCAGTGAATAGTAGTGATATGATGTAGAAATAGTCGAGCTAGAGAGAAATATAAAAGATATTTTTAAATGAACAGGAATTCAAGGAAGATGTTCTGAGTGTATGTACAGGCCAAATGGACATATTTCTTTACTCTCATTGAGTAAAGCAATATGGACAATACACACACACACACACACACACACACACACACACACACACACATATATATATATATATATATAAATTTTCTTAAGTTGTTGGTAAAACCACTTTGTTAGAAACTTTGGTAGACAATTTTACATTTCTTGCAATTTTCCCTTATATTAGCAAGAGTATCAGCTATGATTAACACTATCATTTTCTAATATATTTTATGTCCTCAATGGTTCCTATTTCCTTTTACAATTTGCACTCTGAATTTAAAAATGGAAGAAACAAAAGCAAAATTGCACTATTTATTAGAAGTTGAGAGTGTTCCCATATGTTCATATGATGGTAATTGGCAGTTACAATAACATGTGAAAAAGAATACTTTCAATTTTGCAAAATCATTAAAAATAACACTATGTTAATGCTGATATTCTGAGAATTAAGTTAGTGACATAAGTTATATTATTTTCTTCCAAATATTTACTCATTTTCATTCCCAGTTCATTTACACTTTCATCATAACCAATTTACCATATCTTTATTGAAGTCTTCCTCTTTCAGATTCACCCCCTGCTGAATTTCTGCCTCCAGTGGTTCAAGCAATTTTTGTATATCTGAGTTAAACTGCTCCAATTCCGTCAAAGGAATGGAGGCCTAAAAAAAAAAGATAGTGCTAATTTAAATCAAAACTACTTTTTATTAGAAACATAAACCAAATGAAATACATTTATTCAGCCCCCTGTTGCTAAAATAATGACATGCATTATTTTTCCATATTAAAATTTATGAAGGATTTGAAATACAATAGGGAAAGTACCTGACTTAGATTATATGGAGAAACACTTGTCATCAGAGCTGAACATATATTCAAGATAATGTGATAAATCATTCCAGAATATCAAAATAATTAGTTTACATGTATTCGTCTTAACTAATTTCTAATATTTTAAATTTAAATTTTAACTTATTTTAGACATTCTGACAGTATAAATTTTAAGTAAATGTGTATGTCCAAAATTACCACATTAATCAATAACAGTAAGCTTGGATAAAATCTGGAATTTCTACCTTAGTTTTAGAAAATCCATGTGGCAACCTGTTGAAATATTTCAAATGCCATTTTTAGGATGGTATAAATTCCTGGCATGTTTTCATAAGTCAACACTATTAGCTTTGTCCAGAAATGTGAGGGTGGCACAAATATATCTTAATTAATGAAACCTAAATGTTTCAAATGCTTCACGAAATATTTAAATCTGAAATTGATATTGATTATAGTCTCAACATTCCTTTGATTTCCTATACAAAATACTTGAAAAGACATGAAAAGACATTGAAAATAAGACATCCAAAAAAGCAATCATTCAAATTATATTATTTTCTGTTTCAATTAGTTAATATTATAACAATAGTTATTATTTTTCACCTGACCAATAATAAAATTCCATAGACAGCAAACAAAAATAGGGTTTTCTTACAGAACTGTGTCATGCTATATAAATAAGAAAACACCCATGTGCATTTTATGCCAAATGTTAGGATAATTTTATAAGGGCCACTTCCTATCTATTGTTTTTTCCTGTATCCCTAGTTATATCTTGACACTACCATTTTTAGATGAAAAATTCTGAGTGAAAATTTGGATTAGTCCTCAAGGAAAAACCCAGTATCTAAAGGTAATCTGTTGGTAGGAAGGACTGAATAAACTATTGATACATACATATATATATATATATATATATATATATATATATATGAGCATAATTGGAACATAGAATATGAATTATAAAATATTGTCAATGGTCTTCTTCCTGAAAAATGAATGGTTTATAGGTTCCTTTAAAATTATTTATTACAGTAGTATTCCTTCAAATTTTAATGATGCTTTGTCATTTGAACTACTATAAAAGTTAGAAACTGGAGTAGCATAAATTTAAAAGAGATTACAATCGTTCAATTATCATTATACTTGATGGGAACTGCTATGGTCTAAATGCATATAGTTTACAACTACATTGTCTATCCGGTTATACTTAAAGTTGTTTTTCACTTTGCTGAGACTCAGTGAGATAAATTGTTTAACATGACTTCATAGATAAAAAATAAATGTTTAAAGTAATCTATTCCAATAACTAGATATCAATACATGAGTCTATTTGTCTTGGCATCAGATTTACATGTTTTGCTCTACCCACTTCTTCCCTAGCTCACCATCTATCCACATAGATAGTGTCAATGGCTTGGTATATGGTTACTATGGTTTCTGTGAACCTGTCCTAAATCTTCTTCTACAATTGTCTTTCGAAGCCCCATGACTTTCAAATCATTACATTTACCTGTGAACATACTTTTGAATTCCAATATATATTTTCAGACAGCTAACCAAATTCTCAATAAGTTCAATATATCAGGTACTGAGCTTATCAACTTTTCTTAAGGTATATATGACACATTTTCCCTAATTTTGTTAAGACCACATTTCAATTCTCAGCCATGCATTCTCAAAATAAAAATCATGTTTTTCTTGGATATACTCTCAGATCTTAGCTCTGCTTGGATCTAATAAATATGAAATCTAAATTAATTGCTATGGATTGCTGTCCTTTTAGTGCCAGTAATACCAAAGATCTCCAAAGAGGTGTCCAATTTTTATAATGCCTATCATCTTCTAGTAAAGCACATAAAGTTTTTGACATAAATTCATATATTGAAAGTGGGCTTTATACTCTAGTAGAGGAATCTTAGTCAAAATTTGTTTTCTCTTTCTAGAATAGGATATTTTCTTTGTAACACTAGGGGAAAATAACACCTATTTCATACAAATGTTATGAGGATCAAGTGTGTTAAATGTTTACCTGATATATAATAAATGTTAAGCACACATCTATTATCGCTGTATCCCAAAGTTCTGTGCACCTGTGTGACACAAATAAGTTCTCCATACATCTTTCCTCAAATCTCAACTCTAAATCATAGCTATTGCCCAATGTTTCTGTTTTGGATATGTTTCTGAAGAATCAATACTTCTTGGTTTTGTTTTTATTTTGCCAAATAATTAAAATAATTAAATTCTAAAGTTAGCATGGAGAAATTTAAGGGCCAGTTTGATAAACTGTATCAAACTAGAAAGAAAACCTGATGTATTAGCCTGTTATGTTATTAGAAATAGTCTCAAGGAAGATCTTAATGTACTTATGTTTTGTCCTTAGAAGTATTTTTATTAGGAGTTATTTAGAAAAATAACTTCAAAATCTTTGAGACATTATTCACTATCTGCTGAAATAGATTTGTTTCTTTCCATCTAGAGTCAATTCTGCTCCAAAATATTTTTTCTAGAAAAGGATCCAAATATTACTCTAATATTGTAATGGCATAGCAGAATGAATGTTGCAAGGTTTTAGTAAGATATCTATATCTATATAGATGTATATACATACATGTGCATATATTTGAGATCAAACCCAGAATATTTCATATGTTGGGAAATCATTCAACCTTGAACTATTTGACTTCCAATATGTCAAATTTCTAAACAGAAAATTCAAAAGATCTGATTGGTTCTCTGCAATCATATGTAAATTATATCAACAATGGAAAAAAAGATACGAAGGCATGATACATGATATCATATATAAAAAGGAAAACAACAAAAAGCTACCAACAAAGGAGTGCTGATATAAAATGACTTTAGGTAATAAAATTACAAAAATACAAACTCGCATAAAGAATAGAAATTTAAACACATTTTTTTCAAAATGAAAAGGGTCCAAACTTGAAGTAAAACTATTCTACAATTTGGAAATGACTACTATTCAGGTAAGAGATTAAAACCTCCATGTGTTCTTCCAAAATGAATACTCTAAATGAATAGGTAGAAAGTATTCTCAGACTACACATTTAGGCTAGCATAAAGGTAAGTTTCTGATTCAGACTACTTCCAGTTTTATTAAAATTAGCAAGGTTTTATTGCTGAAAATAAATAAGCAGATATTAAGTAGTGATGCTTTGGGTAAAATAGTTAAAATATGACCATTATAACATGACTAATATTTTCAAATCTAATATGTCATGATGAAATCTATATTCTAAGTTCACACAAAGTGTTTGGAGTGAGGCAGCTCAATAGAAATATAATGAAAGCCATAAATGCAACTTAAAATTATATAGATGTTATAGTCAAAGAAAAAATTGAAAAAATTATTTTATTTATAAGTCTTAAATATTTTCTTCCAAAATTTAGTGAATTTTTATATCATTAATATGTCCAAAATATTATCTTCTCTACAATGAAAAAATATTATATTTTACATTAACTATTTAAAACCAAGTACTCAAAATATAAGAATGTTTTACTTTTACCAAATCTTAATTTAGATTAGACGATTTTTGATTGATCTATGGACTCTTGTTGTTAGTGTAGATTTATTCTATTTTAGCCATGCCAAATGATAATATTCAGCATTTATTGTTAGCCAGAAAGGTATGCATGGAATATTATCCATTCAATAATATTTAAAATGTAATAATTCAAACTTTATTGGGTTACTTTTACATTAGTCTAAAATTATCAGTCTCATGCAAATCAATTTTAAAATGTTTTATTTTTTAGATTATATTTTTGAGAAAAAAATTCTGTGTAGTTCTTTTTGTGTGGGTTTTATCTAGATATTTGAATTTATCTATCTCTTATTTATTTGTAATCATAAACTTCCTTTTCACTATATCTTACATATAATAATTATCTAAGCAATGATACATTTATCCCAAATAGAAGTTTCACTCTTTGAAGATAGCAATACCTCTTGTATCATTCTAAATTTTGCATAACAAATATGACATCTTTTTATTAGAAAAGAATATTTATTATATACATTACTAGTTTTAGAAACAATTTGCACATTGATTCATCAATGATAATATTTTACAACTAAAATGATGATAAACAAATCAACCCAATTATTTCAACATTGGCAAGAAAAGATCATCCACTTAAAATATATGGTTATAACTTCTTATATGTAAAAAAATGTATATACCTAGTTGTTGTCCTACCCTTAATAATTCACTAGTTCATAATTAGTATATGGATTTGAATTCTAATGTAGAAGATATTTTTTGTTAACCAGCGAAAGTTTTTATTTCAGTGCTTTTATTATACTTCATAATTGTGACTTATTATGCAATTATTGAAGAAATGGGTAATTTGGAAGTGCCTATCATTTCAAAGCTCACTTAGGCCTTGGCATGCTGATGCACATCTACAATCAGGGTACATTATAGGCTGAGATAGAAGAATTGCTAGTTGTGATCAGTCAGGGCTATCTAATTCCTACCTCATAAATCAGTAAGAAAAATGCATGAGTAAATAAATAATTTAAAAAATACTTAAAGTTCAGTTCAAGGAAGCGATTTTATAACTCTTGCTTTTCAAAATAAGATTATCATAAGTTATCTATGGCAATTAATGCAATGATTGAATATAATCTTTTCCAATAAAATATTTTCATATACTTAAAATTGTACAACTAGAATCATAATTATCTCACATTATGTTAGGCAATGAACACAAGACAGGTTTTAGAATATATAGAAAATAATACAAATGAAGTTATAATGAAGTCAGAGAAGGATATAGCAATTTTTATGTTGCACAA